TATCGGTGATGCCTTAAAAGTAAAGGGTGACGTGGTTCAACCCATAAGCGTGTGTTGGTCAGAGAGTGCAGAGGGTGACTGCCTCTAGCATTGTTCATGTCTTTTAGGTTTTGTTTTTCAAGCACAAATTTTTTTATAGAGTATTTTATTTTAAAATATAAATTTATAATTTATAATTATTTTTATATATCTTTATTAATTTTAATTAATATTTTATATATTTAAAAAATAAAAAAAAAAAACTTACAATAACTACCATAAAGTGCAACACAATACAAAACCTTAATTGAGTGAAGATGGTAATAATGTGGTAACCCCACAATCAAGAATAATTTCGTTAAAGTCGGCAATAATCCCGCCACCATGCCCCTTGGCCTTTGAATTAAAGAGGTCCCAAATCCGAAATTCAAATTCAGATCCCAATCCAACCAAACTTTCTAGCCGTTTGTCAGACATGTGGTGACTTTTTAAAAACCGCCTGATAATAAAGGAAACAACCAACCCAAGAGGCACGTGACATTCTTAATTGTAATTAGAAATTTTCTAATTTGTTTCTTAAATTTTATTTATTATAGTATTTATAATTAATTTCATATAATTTTTTATATAAGATTTAAATAAAATAAACTATCATATATAAATATATAATATAATATAATATTTTATTTCAAAATCTATAAAAAATTATAAATTTGATATAAAAATTTATATAAAATTAAAAATATTTTAATTATAGTTAAACCCCCAATTTGATCCCTGAACTATTATATGGACCCCTGATTTGGTTCCTAAACTAAAAAAATCCTTGATTTGATCCTGAACTATTATACGGATCCCTAATTTGGTCTCTAATGTTTACCAATTTGCCACAAGTTAGTTCTTTCGTACAAAAAAAAACTGACGTATTTGTTATTTAACGGTGAAAAATAGTAACTTAACGGCCATGTGTCATGTTAATAATAAGACACGTCAGTTGGTTTTTGTATGAAATGACCAATTTGGGATAAATTGATAAACAGTAGGGACAAAATTAGGGGTCCGTATAATAGTCTACGTACCAAATCAGTGATTTTTTTAGTTTATGGACCAAATCAGAATCTATATAATAATTCAGAAACCAAATTATGGATTTAACCTTTAATTAATGAATATTAATCTGTATTATATAGAACACATATCAGAGAACCATTTTTGAAAGATATCACACTTTTCAAACAGCTGTGGAGGTGGGAATAGCACGGTTGTTGGCAAATCTCGCACGGTTGGTTATGTATAAGTTTAGAAAGTTATGCACTTCTTTTTTTTTTTTTTGTGTCAGATAAGTAGCATATATGACTCATACTCTACCGTACTGCAAAATGCTCATCCCTAGTCTTTTGAAGATTCAGAATCAAGAAAGGCAACATTTACAATTCTGGGGAATGGGATTTGAAAGTCATCAGCCATCAAAATAGACGCAAGCCCTGTAGCAGGTTGCCTTCAGAGGGAGAAAGAGAAAACCCAGCATGTAGGACCCGAAAAAGCAACGGGGAAAAGTACGAATGGAGAAGACGACCTTAACTTCACCCACCTTGCTTTCTCAATAAAAACGCGGGGAGTCCATGTCCCACTTGGGTGAAGAAATTTACATCAAGGTTTTCTCAATAATTTAACGTAGGAAATCCATTCTTCCCTTGGGTTATAGATGAATTTACTGTAAGTCTTCCTCAATTAATACTGTGATACCATAACTAATTGGAAGTTGGACTTGCTCCGACTTGTTCTCACTATGACATTTCGACAAATACTTGGTATGCTTCTCTGTTTTTTCATATCTTTATTTTATTTTTCTTGTTTCTTGATTCCCATTTAAAGTCAATAGCCTGTTGAGAGTCTACGTTAGTTGCACGCATTACCCTCATCGGTATACTCCTATTAGATATTCACGTCCATTCATTTTTAGTCTAAAATTTTCCGCGTATGTACGTAAAAAATTAGGCATATTCTTTTGAAAAGGAAACAGCATGCGAAGACTCATTTAGCATGTCTTTTGGGTACTAGTCAACGTGCAGCAATAATATGTCTCTTACATTCTGCAAAAATGAAAAAAACACTTTTTAGTGTTAACTCTGTTCTTCAATCAATGCTCTTCAAGAGGGCTAGTATCTTACAAACAATCTTCTTTTTCAGCTTTAGAAGTCACATGTTGTCCCTCAAATTCTGTTATTGCATATTCTTCTTATGTTCTGGCATTGGATTCTGCTTTGCAACAGATACTTTGACTTTTAACAGTTCCATCCGTGATGATGCAGGA